TGATACAAATTATAAATGCTACTAAACTTGCCCAGATGGTTACTTCTTACAGTAGTAATAGTAAGAGTGCTAATAATGTGATGTTTCATGCAGTAAATGTATTGGTAATTCAAATAACTGTACTGCTTGTTAAAGCAGCTATTATTAATTTTTAACTTCTGATTCAGCAACAGAATTTTAATGTTATCAAATATGCCCAAATAATTACTAGATAAAATAGAATATGTGTTAACAATGCACATTATATTCTTCTGAAGGGTGTCATAGTTGTGGCACTACTTGTAAATTATGCTAAGCAAACCAAATAAGTAATTGCGTAAATTGCTATGAAACAATGCAAATTAGTGGAAGCTAATGCATTTGTAGAAATCCATAAGACTAAAGGAATATCTTCTATCAGTGTAGTTATGATAATTATGCTGTTGTTTAAGCAATCTTTGATAGCATATCTCCAATTTTAACACTTGAATTTGGGTCTAATTTAGTAAATATAAATAATCTTACATGTGACCAAATATTTGATTCTGCTACATATCTGTTGCTGGGTTCTAATTCTAGCTGTGAAATAAGTTAAACCAAAATAGTTGTTTCCTTGAGTAAAATACTAATATAAATTAAAATTTTTTTGATTTATTCATAAAATAATAAATAGGTAATGATGCAATCATTATGGCTAACTACACATTAGGATTTAAAAGTAATTTTCTGTAATTCTAAGGATACACAAAATATATAGATACTTTCTATTTGGTATCAGTAGTATAAAATTTAACAACGCAACCATCTGTATAAGTTCAATTTAATGATATAGAAAATTCATGTAATGACATTTCTTTTGGAGTTAAATCTGTTTTAAATGATGCCAAAAGAAGTTTCTTTTATTTGTAATGGAGCTTTGATCCACTTTAAGGTTTGAGCGACTCTACTCTTTAAGCTATAAATACCATATTTTAGACAACTAACTAACAATAAAGTTAAAGTTTAGTGATAAACAAATATGTATTGCCTCCTGATATTTCTATTACTGTTCACCTATTCTACATACTAAAAGTGAACTAAAATAGTA